CCATATTGAAGTCAAGGAATCGGCCAACCACAAATTTCTTTGCGCCGGCATCCTCACTTCGGTATTTATGATCCAAGGCTTCCCACAGCGCTTTCGCTATGCCAATCTTGCGATATACATCGTATAATGCATCACACAATCCATTTAGGATGTAGTTTCGGCATAGGAAGTCCGAATCCTTCCAATAGTCAACTGCCATCACGGATTGGGCATCCTGTTCCCTTAGTTCGGGAACCTTCTCGGTCAAAAATCTCGCCAAGCCGAGAGTTGCTAGGTAGAACAACATCTTTTGTTGCCACCTTTTGAAATTCGATCCAATACCGGTGAATTTCTCCGGTCTTTCGGCCGAACCACTCGGTACCGTAGGTACCCGAGTCATGGGAATATATCCCTCGGTGCTCCCACCATCTTGTGAACCAACGTTCACTGGTGTAGCCTGGGAATTAGCAATATTATTGCCATTCCCACCACTGTTGTTCTCAACAACATTCTCCTCCCCGAGAGCTGGCAAAACTGGATTCTCCATTTCTTCTAGGAAATTATAGATAAACAACCAACGGGAAACGGATATAAGGTTTTAAGATTGTTGGATAATATGGTTGTAAAATCCCAAAATAATAATAATCCTACGGAAAGATTAATATTATATGGGAAAACAGAAAGAATTGGGAAGGAAAAGGTTGAGTGTTTGGGTAGGGATTTAGCACGAGTTCGAACACGAAGTTCTTTTCCTTAAAACCTTATTTGCTACCTCCCACAAGTGCTAGGAGCGTTGTAGCCTAGGTTTCCCAAGATAAAACGTGCTACGATTCCTTGTTTAAGCACCTAAGCAAGGAACCCGGCAAACAAAGCAAAGCTGGAACACAGATTGGCTAAAGAAGAGAGTAGAAGCAGAAGTTTTGAGATGAAAAGTTACTGGAATTCCTTTGTTTCTCACTGTGTAAAATGCTACTGCTTCTACCTCTCTTTATATAGGGATGTTAGAGTGATAGCATTCAACATGGCAATTAAATTGGTGTTAAAACCAATTGTGTAACACCTGTAACGGTCACCACTAAGTAGGATTAAACTCAGAATTTAAAATTGGAATTAAAACAGTATTAATTCCGTAGAGTTTAATCTGTACAACAGGCTGAACTTTCGGGTTTCAGACCGTTGGGGTGCAGGTTCACACGAGAGCACACGGACCAGGCAACACGAGAGTACATCTCTCGTGTGCACTGTGGTGCAACCCGAGAGTGCACTACTCTCGTGGTCACAGATACACGAGAGTTGTGCTCTCGGTGCACCGTGGTGCAACCCGAGAGTGCACTACTCTCGTGGTCACAGATACACGAGAGTTGTGCTCTCGGTGCACCACAACCTCTCGTGCTACACACGAGAGTAGGTGCTCGGTTCGGTTTTGACTTAGCCCGCAAGGCCAGCCCATTTCTGGACGACATTCGTGCCCGCAGGTGCCGGCGCACGCGAGCTCGGGCTTGATTTCAAGCCTTTTTGATGTCCTCTAGTTGGATTTTGATTTGCACCCCCCCCCCCCCCCCCCGCGCGAGAGAGCCTCTATGCTATACAATTCTACAACCTTGAAAAGAGCTCATGTATATAAGGGGGGCAAATCTTGTTTCCAAACCAATGTGGGACAAAGTCCTACATTTTCCCTTCATTTCCCAACTTAAATGGGTCTACTTTGAGAATCAATATCTCATTCACCCATTATCCGTTTTGAGCGTACAATATATCAATATCTTCGTCTTACTACGAAGAATCCGAATCCACTTTGACCCGACCCAAATCGGAAGTGGACCCCACTGATAATTGTACCACAAAATAGCCACTTAATATGCCATTTTATGCCATTTTAAGCTAATTTTTCCAACATTATAATCAATCTTGACTATATTATCTTGCATTTGTAGATATAGAATTACCTATTTAAATACGCAAGTTCAACATTCAATTATCTATGCATGAACAGTTCTAATTTAATCTTGCCTTGATATACTTTAAAGTACTTATTTAAATAAAATAATATTGGGCAAATTATGCCCTGGACCCGTGTCCACAATGCATTGTGGACACGAGTCCAAAACGACGTCGTTTTTAAGAAAAACGCGTCATTCCAGTTAAAAAAAAAAAGGAATAAGGGTCAAATTAGTCACTGAACTATACACACAAATGCAATTAGGCCATCCAACTAAAAAAACATGCAATTAGCCCCCTGAATAAGCCAAAATCTTGCAATTGGGTCAAAAGTGACTGGTTATTCAGGTTAACCGCCGACGTGGCGGTTAACCATTAATATATTATTTTACTTTATTAATTTTAAATATTAAAAAATAGAAAAAAATTAAAAAAAAAAAAAAAAAAAAAAAAAAAAAAAAAAAAAAACCACCCTACCCCTGCCCTCCTAACGGCCAGAGACAAATTGTAGACTGTAGACGCACTTCATCACTGGCCGGCAAACTTCGTCTACACATGCTTATTGTCGAAATATCTCCTCCTCTCCATTCATCATAATAAAAGAAGAAAAAACAAAAACAATATTTGAAACAATGTTTATTATGCTGTGAGGAATGACACTCGGTCATATAGTTTTCAAGAATTTGCAGGAGATGATTCGCTCAAAATCTTCTTGTTGGACGCAAAGAAGGAAAAGAGAAGAGATTGACTGTATATATATTGGCCAAATGTAGACTTCAGGAAAAACAGAATACGAAGTATTTTTTTTTTTTTTTTTATAAATAGTGAATCAAAATTCAATGAAAAGCAACCAATTTTGATATTTAATTCTTCAAATAGCACACTCACAGCATTCAAAATTGAATATTCTCTCCACCACTTTAGTGCCAAACAGAGCTCTTACCGGAGACGAACTGTAAACTTGGTCTCCCGTGGGCGACGAAGTGGAGGCTTTGTCTCCAATAGGAGACAAAGGGGGATGGGTGGGGTTGGGTTTTGTTTTGTTTTGTTTTTTTTTTTAATTTAATATTTAAATTAATAAAATAAAATAATTTATTAAATGTTAACCGCCACGTCAGCTGTAAACCTGAATAACCAGTCACTTTTGACCCAATTGCAAGATTTTGGCTTATTTAAGGGGCTAATTGCATGTTTTTTTAGTTGGATGGCCTAATTGCATTTGTGTGTGTAGTTCAGTGGCTAATTTGACCCTTATTCCAAAAAAAAAATTATTTTGTCTCGCTGTTAACGCCGTTAACGACGTTATTCGTTTGTGCCATTATGAATGTACAATTATGGGATTATGAATGTACAGTTATGACATTATGAATGTACAGTTATAACATTATGAATGTAAGTTATAAAATTATAAATACAGAATTTTGACATTATTAACTTACAATTACGAACATATAGTGATAAAATTATGAACATAGAGCTTTAAAATTGTGAACATGGAGCTTTGAAAATTATGATTTTACAGTTATTGAATTATGAATGTACAGTTACGGAATTATGAATGTACAGTTATGCAATTATAAATATACAGTTATGGAATTATGAACACAGAGCTCTGACATTATAAATTTACAATATGAACATTAAGTGATAAAATTATGCATGCTTGATACGGGTCCAGAGCATAACGATTGTATATATATAACGGCCTTAGCTTTCAAGTCTATAAATATTAAATGGTGGGCCTAGTCTTATAATATATGATATATATTATTGTTCCTTATCTTCCTTTAAGGCCCACTTTAAATCCTTTATATTATGAGATAGCCCATACACTTATAACTAGCAAATTATTGTTTGGAATATGGTCCACACAATGTTTTGTGAACCATAACAAAAAGTATATTTTTAATATATTAAATGTACAATATTTTTATACTGAATGTACATTATACAATATAATATACACTCAGAACAAAAATAATGTACATCCTTTAAATACAATGTACATTATTTTTGTACTGAATGTATATTGTTTTTGTACTGAATGTACATTATTTTACAGTAGACCAAATATGGTCCACACAATAATGATTGTTTATAACTCATATATCATTCTTATAATACAATGTATATACACTATTATATATGTCTTCATTTTCCTAGCAAGACTAAACATAAAATACTCATCCCTTCTCTCGTCTTTCATGCCACTCTACACCATTTTCCCTACCAAAACTATTCTTTATTTCCTACTCAAGAAATCAAGTCAAGAAAGCAACTTTATAATATTTTGAGCTAAGGAGTGGTAAGATTTTAGCTTCTACACTTTTTCCATTCTTCATTTCTTCATATCTCTAAATCTATATCTTATTTGCATGTTAGGTTTTGAAGGTTTAAAGAGGATCAAGTGGATGATGACATGCTAGGATGATCTAGAAGAGCTTTGGGTGTTTTGTTAGCTAAGAAGGTAACCCTATGTCCATGAAAACTATTTTAAACTTCATTATATGTATTCTTGTTGTTCTTGATGATATTGAGCATAATCTTGTGTTTATGCTTGTTTTAGAGCTTGTATCTTAGGTGAAAACTTGTGTTTAATGTGCCATTTCTTCTATTCCAAGTCATATGTGGCCAAGCAAAGTTGACGGCTAAACCTCTCTCACGCTCACACACATCTAACATACGAACCATCACCACCGCGATAGTCGGAATGGCCTATGTTGCCGGCGGGGGAGGAATTTCCATCGGCACCTCATTAGGCAGTGCGACAGTACATGCGATACGTGCTGCCGACCTCTCATCGGAATTGTGGCGGCTTAATTGTTCTCGAAGATCCCCGACGGAAGCACGATGGGAGGCAGCTCGAGCTTTGGCGCTGACAACGACGGTGACAGTGGTGTTGACTACGACGACAGCGTTTCCAGAACGTCTATTGCATCTAGGCATGCCATTAGCAAAGTTTAGAAACATGACCTTTTGTATCGATCCCCATAGACGATGTCAATGTTGGTTTTACAACTTAGGGTAGGCGGACGGCGGGCCAACACTACCTTAAAAACGTTAAAAAAAAGTTGAAAGAGAAATTTGACAGAGTAATTGTGCTTGCATTAACCTCAAAACCCATTACAATGTGACCCCGTAGGGTATTTATACAAGATTATGTGCCTTGAAAAAAGGAAAGGAAGAAGAAATTAACAAAATTGAACTTACGAAAGTTTCCCATCAACTAGATAAGCTTCCTAATATTAAAAAAGGAAATTCTCGCGCCAAAGTTAGAAAGAATCTCCGACAAATTTTCTTCCACCATCCTTGAGCGCGGCACCTAGTCGAGACCCCTCCAAATACCTAGTCTGGTTGCTCAATTGGCCCGACTGGCGAGCTAAACAAGTGGCGGGCCGGAGATAGGCTACCGAGGCCCTCCCAATTCTTTAAGTAATCAGGTCGCGATCTCCTGACCGCCTAGGGGCACACCTGACTGGGTACCCTACTAGGGGTATCCATCACATACAAACATAGATGATGGCACTTGGCACCCCATTATGCTATTTACATAAAAGGCATATTTCTATAAGATTATTGATAAAGCTCGGATTTAGATAACCTCATTGCTGGCACAATAATCAAGGAAACATTTTTCTTAGTGACTATTCCAAATTTATCAGATAGGTCAAGATTTTCACCTTTAGGAAGATGCCAGTCAAAGGAATGCAACAATGAACTCAAAATATAAATAAGCATTTTCTCTGCCAAGGAAATGCCGGCACAAATTCTCCTTCCAGATCCAAATGGCAAAAACCTATGATCATTGCCTGTATAATCTACACTAGAAGTTTGGTTAAGGAACCTTTCAGGCCTAAACTCCATAGGATTGTCCCAAAGTTGAGGGTCTCTATGTATTGCATACATATTCAGAAAGACTCTAGTGCCCTTAGGAATTGTGTATCGGCCAACTTGTGTAGTTTGAGTTGGGCACCTGGGGACTAGAAATGGTAATGCTGGGAATAAACGGAATGTCTCCTTCACAACTGCATCCAAATAGCTGAGTTTTGGTAGATGGACCTCTTCAACAATATTGTTTATTCCTACAATCTCCTCTAATTCCTTCTGGACCTTTTTCATTATCTCTGGAGTATCAAGTAATATTGTCATAACCCACTCCACCATTGTGGCTGTGGTGTCTGTCCCCCCTATCACAATATCCTATATACATAGTAAACTATACAAGTTAAAAGAAGAAGTAAACTGTGTTAAAAAAAGGAAAAAAAAAAAAAAGAAAAAAAAAAAAAAAAAAAAAAAAAAGAAAAAGTAACAAAGTAATAAGCAGCTAGCTGTAATATAGACTTTTAAACAAACTTTTAAACCACCCCTTCCTTCTGTCCAAAATAATGACTTTTAAATTTTATATTACTTGAAGTAATTTGTTTGATTTACTTGAAGCACTTTTAGTAGATTCAAACATACCAGCCAATTGAAGCATAAACAATACTTCATACACCCAAAAAAAAAAAACAATAATTTAATACTCAATTTAGTTATCGATTATAGTGATTTTTTTCGATTAAGTCTTAAATGCAATGTTGCAAAAAATGTTAGGCGCCCCCTTGCCGCCTAGGGGCGCCTAGCACCTAGGCGCCGATTTTTTATTTTATTTTTAATTTTTTTTTAAAATTTTTTTAATTAAAAATAAAATTTTTTAAAATTTAGTAATAAAACATAAAGTTTTCATAGTTATTTCTTAGAAACTATTTACGAAAGTGGTTGTAAAATTGTTCAAAAAGATTGTTTAAACCATCTAAATACATAAAAAAGTTATGCCTTCCGAAACTTTTTCCACATTTTCAAAAAAAAAAAAAATCTCACGGCCGCCTAGCCGGCCGCCGAGGAGGCCGCCGAGGCCATTTCTCGCGGCGGCCTCCCACCGCCTAGCGCCTAGGCGTCGATTTTTGCAACACTGCTTAAATGTCTTTTTTTTTTTTTTTTGGTGCTTAATTAAGTACTTGACTTCGATGATTTTACCTACCTAATTGAGCCATCTGTAACTATAACTTAGTAATTTCTTCTTTATTAATGCAAAATTTAGTCTTCAACTATAGTGATTTTACTAAAATTAGTCATCGATTACCGTGGTTAATACCCAATTTAGTCCTAGACTAATAGACTATATCACTTTTACTCAATTTAATCTTTTATTCTAACAACCGATGACTCAATTAGGTTAAACCATCAAAGTCAATAACTCAACTAAGTACAAAAAGACTTGAAAGTAAGCGAGTTTTCAACGGATGACATACCAGCAACAATGCCTTGATTGCTTGGACATCCAATGATCTCCCAGCGTCATCACGCTCCTTCAGCTCTAAAAGGATCTGCAGAAAATCCTTCTTTTCGTCACCCTTTGCCTTGCTCACACTCCTAGATTTCTCAGAAACTATCCTTACACCTTCCTTAATGATGGGTTCCAAAATATTGTCCACAGCATTTCTCATAACCTCCATCTTTGCCTTTATCCCCTGCAAATCGAATCTAGCAAGCCAGGGGAAGAAATCAGAGATATTAGGCTCGCCCAGCATACCCACAAACTCCCCCATTAACTCCCTAAACTCTCCTCCAATTTCTTCATTCTTTGCTTCATCAGATCCCAACGTACTTCCCCAGATCATTCTCGTCACAACATTTATTACAGTCGAAGAAGCCAATTCCCCAATGTTGACAGGCTCACCTATCTTCGATTTCACACTTTTAATGGCCTTTCTAACCTCTTCTCTCCGGTGCTCGTAGCACGCTCGGAGGTTGGCGCTGCTCAGCATCTCCCGTACAAACACCTTGCGGATGTCGCGCCAGTAGGTGCCGTTTGGGGACCAGAGAATATCACGGCCGCCATACGTGCCGATAATTCCTGCTATCGGCGGGTCGCGGTTAGCGAAAACAGCGTCGTGATCGCGTACCACCTCTTTGGCAATGGAGGGTGAGTTGACTACCACAACAAGGCGCCTCCCAAGTTGGAGCTTGAAGATGGGGCCGTACTTTTGGGCGAGGTCTGTGAAGTGGTGGTGTAAATTGGGGCGGAGAAAAGGCAAGTATCCCACCACGGGGAAGCCGAGCGGCCCCGGTGGCAATGGCGGGGCTTTCTTGGTTTTAAACTTCGCATAAACCCACAGTACTGCTGAAAGGAGCAGTACTGAGAACGTGAATAGAGCTAAGGTTTCCATCTCTGTGCTCAAAAGTTTCAGTACTGGAGAAGCCATTTCTCTGTGGTGTTGGAACGTTTATCCTTGCAAGAGTCTTAAATAGATACCCCATCTGTCCTAATTCAATTTTTTGTATTTAATAACACCTTTAATGTACTTTTTAAATATATATATTTTAGATACTAATTCTAAACTTAATATTATAAAAAAGAGGTAATTCCACCAGAGGTACCTTGTCTTTGATGGCAATTCTAATTTTAGTCCCAGACTATTGTTTTTGTCATTTAACATCCCAGACTATTATTTTTTAAATATTTTTAGTCCTCTCATGACTTTTCCTATTTTTAGTAAAGGCATTTTTATCTCTTCATATTTTTTTTTTGTTATTTTTCCATTTTCAACCGGTTTAGTTGGTTTAGGACTTTACTAAAAACCGGTTGAGAAATATGGTTACTAAAAATCAGAAGTTACCTAATGTTCTAAACCAATTAAACCAGTTGAAACAAAAAAAAAAAATAACAAAAGAAAAATATAAAAAGACAAAAATACTCTTACTAAAAATAGAAAAAGTCATGAGAATGACTAAAAGTGTCTAAAAAATAATAGTTTGAGATGTTAAATGGCTAAAACGATAGTCTGAGACTAAATTTGGAATTTCCACAAAAGGCAAGGGACTTCTAGTGGAGTTAACTCTATAAAAAATTAAAAATTAAATTTTAAATAACTTCAATCCGGCCTCGTTAACCGAACCCGACAAATAAAATGGTATGTTGGAAAGACTGCTTTGTTCAATGCGTAATTTGAAAAGTTAAGGTTGAAAATAAGGGATCTTTTTGTCCTTCAAAATTATTAAATTGGAATATAATACGAATAATATTCTACTATACCAAGAAAAAAATATATAATAGTTAAAATTTCATTTTTAGTTATTGATTATTGAATCATTGTCACATTTAAGGTGTGTTTGAAAAATAAGAAAACGACTTCTAGAAAATGTTTTCTGGAAAAAGACTCATTTTTCATAAAATATTTTCTTTTCCCGTGTTTGGTTGCATTCCAGAAGAAGAAGAGGAAGAGGAAAAGGAAGAAGAAGGAGAAAGAGAAGGAGAAGGAGAAGGAGAAGGAGAAGAAAAAGAAGAAGGATATAAAACAACTCCGAAATGACCCTTAAAACTAAGCATCTTTGGCACTTATCACAAGTTTTCATACTTTATTCTTGCTTGTCCTCAAACAAGTTATCAATCAATGCAAAGTTTATAAGTGTCTAAAGATAGCTCAAGATAACCTCAACAATCAAATGGTCAATCAAGAGAGGTGTGTAAGAAAACGGAGAGGGGGATTGTTCAAAGGGAACGCTCTCTTTGGGACAACCGACTTCACATAGAGCTCTACGGTTTTTCGAAGACGATGCAATGTTTGCCTCAAATTCTAGCAAGACGGCTTCCCTCGTATCTTTCCTCTCATTGGGGTGGTTATTCTTTACGTTCTTTTGTTTTATCTATTTCTTCCTTTGACTACCCCTCATGCCTTTTGCTTAGGAGTAGGGGATCACTCAAACCTCACCAAAGGCTCACCTTTTGCCCCATGCCATACCATGATTTTTCCAATTCTAGGTCTTGCCTAGTTTATCATTCTCAAGTTGGAATGCGCACACTCCCACTTCGAGAGATCCTTGGCTAAGGTCGAAGCAAAATAAGAGGTGAACATCATGCAAGCACACAAAAGTATAAACCTACTTGGTTTCTATGCAATCCTCACTTGGTGTAAAGAGGCAATTTCCAACGAATATTCCCCAAATTAAACTTTTTTGGCACATCATTAAACCACATTTCCAAGATGATATGAACAATGACACACTCTCCATCCACACACACAACAATCAATCAAGCACCATTCAAAAGTCAAGATTTTATCATTAAAGCACAAAGTGTGTCCTTTCCACACTTTAAATCAAACATCATCCTAGATGTTTACCATGAGGACTAGGTGGAAAAAGGACCACGGTTCAAAGCAAAAGTGAACATCCATTTCCACACTTTAGAAGTGGGCATGGGACTTGGGGTTTGAAAGTAAAAACCTTTGTGGATGAAAAATGAATACTAGTGAATGTGTGAAAGAACCCTTTTCCCACACTTTAAGATAAAAAATCGGGGCATAGAAAAGAGAAACGAGATAGAAGTGATGACTCCCTTTGTAGAACTTATTCTTTTTTATCAATGTTGCATCCTAAAACTTTACCCCATCAAACCCATTCGAAACTTCACAATCAACCAATGTTAGTGGCATATGTGCAATCAAGAATTGTTAGTGTTTTAAGTCTAAACCCCAAACTTGTAATTGACAAAATTATTATGGCAAAGTTAGACAGTTTTTATTCTAGGTGTCTGTCAGTGTTTAGTATGAAGACCTGATTGATAAGACTCTACGACAAAGCGTCTTGGATATATCTATTGGATTTCTCCGAAGTTTATGATGATGCGCTAGCAGAAGCAGTTACTTCATGAGATGCGTTTATAAGAAAGTCCCTAATCAATATATTCACCTCAAAAGGTAAAACAGTAATCGGGCTTCATGAGATATAAATTAAGATTGTTGTTCTACCGTTCCTCAATAAGAGTTCTATATAAAGGAGATGATTCAAGGGGTTTCAACACACAACTGTACATCGACTTGAATCACTGACTATCTCTCCCAGTACTATTTTTGGTGTTTTTTTTTTTCAAATGCTCGGGGTGCCTCCCAAGAACGCCACGTTTAACGTCTTTAGCTGACTCAAATGAAAAAAGAAAAACAATAAAGGTTAAAAGAAAACAATCATAAAATGAAAACTACCAACTCAAAAGATATCAAATGTAAAGTTCTAAATGTAAAGTACGGAATTAAAAGTACATAATTAAAATGCAAGACAGTAAAGCGCATGAAATGGAAGAAAAACAATAAAGACAGCACCTCATGCACGGGGTACCTAGTGTTCATCAAGTGGGAATAGTAACCAAAGTAACCAATGGAACATCACAACCCTTCTTCAAAATCATGGGACCCTTCATTGCATGTCTCCACCATCATATGATAGGGGATGAAAGTGTTGAGTGAATTGGACTTGAAGGTCCTCAATAGCTTGCCCATGTCTCCAGATCTCCTCCCTTTGTGTTCTCAATTCGGCCATGTGCTCAAGGTGAAGTTAGTATTGAAATTTGAAAAGATTATATGGACTCCCAATCATTAACGGTGGCAAAGTATAAAGGAATGTCCGGCATGTTCGGAGGTGATGTAGGTGGGGCCTCTTCTTCACCTTCCTCAACCGGGGTTAGTTTTTCCCAATTAAGGTCGGCTATGGTGATGGATGTCATGGAAGAAATCTTCCCTTCTCGCCTGATCTTTCCCTCATCTTTCCCTCCAACTCAAGGCCTTGGCAAAGCCTAGTGAGTAAGGGTCCTATGAAAATGTTGGTGGTGTTGTCTTGGCTTTGGTGGTCAACCACCTCTTGCATACCACACACATGTTAATAGTCTACCCCATCTCCATGGAATTGAAATGAGATAATGGAAAGATTACCAAACTTCAATCCAAAATTGAATCCAATTTACAAAAGTAATCCAAAAGCTTCAAGGTATGAGAGTGTTGTCAAGACTCCTTCAACCAAAACTCTTTTTCAATGTAAAGTGTTCTTGAGTTGGCTAGAGAGCTACAAATGAAATGTAAAAGATACAAAATGATCCAACCTCCCTAACACTCTAATTCTCTCCTTTTTATATCAACTTCTCCCAGGCTTCGTCAAAGATTTCGCTCGCCACCCCCGTCACGACCGTGCCACGATCGTGACCGGGTCATTAAAGCACCCAAAGCCCCGTCCACGATCGTGACCAAGCTCGTGACCGAGTCAGAATCTCCGCATGATCGTGGGCGGGGTTCTGCATCCTTCCCCTGTTTACACTCTTCCTTGGTTCCTCAATTCAAGTCCATACATTGTCTTTTAAGCTCAAGAATCCTTCGAAACATTAAAGTGTACATATTATAGGGCTTTGCAACATATTAGCACATTTCAAAGCATTTTCATCGTAAATCACCCACAAAGGACTCCTTATAAGCATAAAACAACCTTGAAATGACCCTTAAAAGTAAGCATCTTTGGCACTTATCAAAGGACTGCTCGAGGCATTCTTTGAGCTAAACAGTCCGGAACCTTAAATTCCTAGCGAATGTGTCAAGGCAAAGTGGATCCTAGGAACACATCCCAAGAAAGATATTTCCCTAAAAGCCTTGGCATTTTGTGTAGAGCAAAAAGTTATGTTCAATGTAATTTAAGTCTTTAACGGCTGGAAAATTTGACACGCTCACCTATCCTCCGGATTACCGCCAATCTCTACATGCTGGTCCATACCTCTTTCATTTGCCTATTAATACCCTCTTCTACAACTGAAGAAGGTGTTGCTGCGATTGCAGCTTGCTAGTCAATTTAAAATTATCAAGTGTTTAAAGCTTTCAAGTGTTATTACTTAGTGACTAGTGTTTGAAAAAGATAGATAAGCTACAATGTCGATATCCAGATTACAAGAGACTTGAGATGCTTTCACAAGAGATGATCAAGATCATCAAGCAAGGCTTTCTTTGTTGGAGAAAGAAGAATTTATTTTCTTCCAACTGTATTCTCTACTCAGTAGAAGTAGAAAGGGTCAGAGTAAACTCATTGTGGAGTTGAAAAACATGTTGGAGCTTGCGGCTTGCTTTGTGTTTAAAGCATGAATGTCCGGACATTGTACTAGGAGTATAGTGCAATCCTACTAAGTGTTCTCAGGAGAAGAGTGGAGCAGGCTAGGTTTAGCCAAACCACTACAAAAATTTCTCTCTCTTTAATTATTCACCGCTTTTATAGCATATATTCAGAACCAAACCTAAAATTTTACAAGAACAAAATAACGTGCAAAGAAAATTAAAAGGGTTAAAACGAATATCCGATGTGCATAAACTAGAGACATTAAAGTTACCTCTCAGGCTTGTACCTTAACCCTCACCAGGACCAACTGCGCTGCAACACTATTGAAAGAATATAATGTAGAATTTTCAAAGAAAAAGCATCTATTTAACCCTCACCAG